TGTTCACGTTGGAAAAATGTTTTCACCATCTTAAATCGTACGCTAAATACACTAATAGTACACTTAATATCTCAGTAATATTCACGTTGACGTTGTCTCGAATAGTTAATTTAATTCTATAAACGTTGGCAACGAAAATAATAACGACTGGTAATCTGTTCCTTTTTCTTTATTTGGCCGCTGTCGTGAACAAACAATCATTTTTGCACGCAAAAACCGTACATTAGATTATTTTTACACGTGTTGTTATTAAAAAACTTACTTCGTGGGAGGGGCGGCGGGAAAGATAAATAAAAAAAAATTGATTATACATTTTTATAACAGTACAAAATCATGTTGCGTCGGTATGTGTCGCAAATTGGGCTACGTATTATGTACACGCTTCATTACATGCGTTCTACATACCTATATCGTAGTAGCACTTATCCTTGTTGGTTTTTTATTATTTTTTTTTTGTAAATTTTGCTCGTTATTATTTTAATATTAATGTTTAACATAAACACACATTATTATGTACCTTGATACACTTCAATTTTTTTTTGATTTTTTTTTTTTTTTTTTTGTAAATAAACAATTGTTTAATAACAGCACACTTGTGCTTCATAGATTTTAAACCCATTCGCTGATCAATAATAATAGTAATAATAATAATAATAATTGGTAACACAATTTGTTCGAACAAAATCTGGTCTTATAGAAAAAAAATGAATATACGCGTGCGCAGTAAGAATAATATAGTTAGCGAAAACATTTTCACAACATTTGCGCTCATTTTACCGACTAGAAAATCGCGTTCATACACCACAAACGTATTAATCGTCTTTCCCGCGTATTATAGAAAGTGGTAACTATTCGAACCGAACTTCCTGCGTAAATAATACATTGAACAGACCACACGTGCTGTTTCATATTAAACATTTTACATCAACTCACCATTTAGCCATTTAACGCGGGTTCAACGGTTCGACATCGATAATATGATACGACACGAGTTAAACACAAAAGAAAAAAAAATGGATCCGTCCAGGCAGCGAACAAAAAATAAAAAAATAATTATAATTTAATTATAATTAAATCTCCGAACGTTCGCTTTTTTTGTACCCTGTGAGACCCATTAGCCGGGACGGTTCAATGCAACGTGAAGCCCTTGCATGTTTTCTCCCAACACGGTATTGTTACACGTTCAATCAAAATCGTTTTTTTTCTCTCGCAGTCGGACGAACGGTACTGGAATCGTCGCGACGCGTAATAACAAGTCAACGTGCCGGTACACGTCACACCGTACGCGAGCAGGCCCGACGAGAGGGGGAGGGCAGCTAAGGCTGTAGCCCAGGGGTCCGGGGCTTGACCAAGTTCACTACGTCTCGGTCATGGTTTCGAGCTATTTATGGATCACCAAAATGAATCGTCCTAACAACCTACCCAAATAATTATAGCGATTGCTGTATAGAGAGGCATTTGTACACTTAAAAAATATAAGTAATCTTCAAGAGGCCAATTTAGCCAACAAATATTAATTATAAGTCAACTGACCTTCTGAGCCTCTTCTAAATCCACACCTAGGCTCAAAGCAACCACAGTAACATGAAAAATCATAGTAATTATTTTCCTGAATTAAATTAAAATTACGTTATTATTGTCCTAATCTTGAAAAATTGTTGACGTGATCGAATAGAACCGTTATAGTTTTGACTGTTAATTTAACAGTTTTGTTCTCTTTATCAAAATCGATAAATCATAAGCCGTATAAATTCTTTGAAAAATCGATATAAGTGATGTTAACGGTCACATACACAAACACAATGGTAATTCGATAATATTGGCTTTGTAAAAATATAAAAAAAAAAGAATAAATTAAAATTTGTAGTAAAGTTCTAGCGCAGCGAGAAAAAAAATTTCTAGAAGGGATTTATTGAATTTCACTCTGATATTATGTTGTTTAGAAGCCCGTTGTAAATTTTTTGTCGAAGGCTCAATCACGAGTCAGACCGACACTGCGCAAGAGATGAACTAAAAATGCGATGCGTTCGCGTCAACAGTGTTCGTGTCGTACGTCGCATCGGTGGTCGGGTGACGAATCGGATCAACGACCGATAGTCGCACGTGAATTTCGCAATACCGTTCGTAATCCTATCGGTTACGATCCCGAGTGAATTACGTCGTCGACGCCCAACACCCGGTGAATTAAATGTTGCTGTAGTGTAAAACTCGACAATGTGATCGAAAATCGTTTCGTCCCTGAATAAATCATTGCACTTCTGTCGTGTTTGTCGTTCCACGATATTTTAATTCGTTATCGAGAAAACGATACTTCAGCGCCTATACCCTCGACGGTTGACGTGGAAGATTACCATGGTTACCTCGATATCATCGGTTGGTATGCCGTAGGAAAACGACGGTGGTAAGAGAGCGATAAATAAGCTATAAAAATATACTGAATATTGAAAAATGAATTTATTACACTAAAACTTTTACACTATACGTTAGGTATGGTTTTCTATTATTCTACACGATCACCGTTCAAATTTATGCATTTTTCCCAATTGGATGGAGTAACTTGAAAATGCCATCTCGCAAATACGCTGCACGTTTCCCATCGAAGTGCTCGATAACTGCGTTCACAATCTCATCTTCGTTTTGAAAATTATCACTATCAAAAAATAAAAATAATAAATGTTTACAATTGTATTGCAACGTTAGAGGAATCGAAAGAATAAATTCGTTTCAAGAGAAGAAGGCAATTACGTTCAGGAAATGTGAAACTGTCGCATGACAATGCAACCTAACATTCAGATTGAAAAATACAAGTGGGAAGTATTGTAAAATCTACCATATAGCCCTGATCTGGCACTTTGTTCGATCTGTTAAAATAACACTTAGGAGGAACTCGTTTTCAAAATAAGGAAGAAGCCATAAATGCAGTCACCGGGTACTTCGATAAAAAATGTGTTGCGTAACTACGACGTGGCTTTTTTAAGTTACTCCATCGTTGAGAAAAATGCATAAATTTGAATGGCCATTATGTAAATGAATAGAAAAATATGTCTTATTTATCGTGCAAAAGTTTTTAAAGTAATAGATTCATTTTTTTTCATTATTCGTTATATATTTTGTACCTTATTTAACGAACATCCATCGTATAATCCATCAGCTAGATATCCTAGTTGATATTTAGAAAGTTATTTTAAAAACCGATTGCTTATAATAATAATTTCCTCAAGACCTTCAATCAACGTGAAAATACACCATTAACCGTGCACAGTCTATTGTCGCTTTTTTTTAATTGATATGTAGATCACATAAAAAGTGACTTCGTTCTTTAAAAAGATCTTATTTCCTAAATTATAATGAACAATTTTATTGAATTTTAGATATATATATATATATATATTAATATACAGCAGTGGTGCCGAAATGTGTATTGCTTATCTTATATGTGTATAAATTCCTCGATTCACACAACGATTTACCAACATAAACATTTTATTTTTGAAATTTGCGTGTAACTATGTGGTTTAATGTGTTTAAGACGATGCAAGTAACAGAATTGCAATATGATGTTTAGTTTTTCAGATATTAAAAATCTTAAAAGAGACATTTTTGTTAAGCACGTCATGGCGAGCGGATATCGAACAACGGGTCTGCCGACCGCCACTATCTAATCCAATATTACGGTATTTATATACATACAATATTAAATATTATTACATTATATTTTTGAAATTTGATTGAACATATGTACTATGTCGTGTTTAATGTGTAAAATACGCACAAAATATAGTAGGTATTTTAGAAACAACAAATAGCTTTTATAAAATTTATAAAAAAAGAAAATTGTTATTGACAATAAGTTATATATAAAACGTTTGATGTAAATGCCTTATATAACTGATAACTATTATTATTTAATCCACCAATATTTTATATAATTAAGACCTTTGAAGGTATTTGATAACTAGTAAGTTATAGAATGACAAAGGAGAAGTAATCACAATTGTTGTATTAATGTATACATACTAAAGTGAGTAAATCCTATGTATGATATAGAAGCTTTTTCTCCAGCATAATCTTGCTCGATTTTGAACTGGCCAAGAACATCATGTCCAGTTGGTAAACAATCGTCATGGCTTACGAATTCTCTGCAGCCCTTACAACGCACTTTGGCACCATTATTTCATTAGTCATTCAGTGCATGCTAAATTAGAACCAATTTCTTTAGCACGTTCTTCGTCAAATCTACGGTTAAAAAAATAACACATAAATCACATTAACTATGAAATAAATAATTTTTTTTAAATTGTTTGACTTTGGGTGAAAACACTTACTGGTTAAATGAGTCTGCGACCCATTTCCATAAGTTACGTTTGTTTCAAATCGTATTTTTCACCAATTTAAATAGTGAACTTTTCGAAAACATTTTGAACGTAAATGTAATTAATGAGATAAATGTATATAAATGTAATGTAATAAATGTATTATTTATAGCAGGGATAGGCAACCCAGAGTTACTAGAGGACCAATTTTTAGAAAATTAAAATCCAGCGGGGCAAAGCAAAGGAAAAAAAAAAGGCCATTCAAAATATTAATATTAATTACCATTTAAATACATCGAAATAATAAATTCAACACACATGACAACATGACACGAATGATACAAAGAAACTGATATAGTTAAATAGTTCAGTACAAACATAGACCTTATATAATAAACAGAGCATCACTGGTTGGCGGGGTCGGGTGGTGCAGTCACGAGTATTCTCATATCAGTGTTGTCATTTCTGACGACATAAAATATGTTTATTCTCATATTTATACAGTATATTATTATTAAAACTTTTGAAAATCAATTTGCCTAATAAATAATATCAAATTTATTTACAATACAATAAATAATGATTTAGAAAAACATATAAATATTTTCTACATAAAATTAAAAAAAAAAAATTTTAAATCATTACAGATCAAAAATTATTTATTCTTTAAATTGATTTGATTTCGACATAAAAGAGGGAAAAGCCTATTAGATTTTGCTAATCTGAAATTTGAGTTAGCAAAATATAAGTAGGTAAGTAATTCAATCTAGTAATAGTTTTTAGTCTTTTTCAATTTATATTTTTTAAAAAATTTCAAGCATGATGGAAAAAGTGGGTGGGTAGGTATTGAAATATATGTTGTGCATCATGGTTTATAATGTTCACCACGTCACTGACCGGTGGTGTAGCTCCAGATGTTTTTTTTTTCGCGGTCGTCTCATACGTACCTACGGCCTTTGTGATTGGCACGAAAAATGTATTTCGTTTTTGAACCGAGGTGGTAGTTTTCGCGATAGCACCGCGGTAAGAGCAAGAAAACATGGAATGAACGATAACGAATTCACGGCAATTCGGTTTTTGGATCACGACGATGGTACGACGTAACGTAAATCAAATGCGTTGTAACAATAATATTTCCATGTTTAAAATACAACACGTACACGTCGTTTTGGAGCCCCGGGGAGCGATAGCCCCTCAAGCCTGATCCCGGAAGCTGCGCCCGACAACCGTTTGTTGTTTTAAAAACAACTTCAATACCTGACAAGCGTACGATTGTCCGTGTACATGACACGCCAATCGGCCGACTAATCGATAAACCGTGGTCGTTTTTGAGAGTTTTTTATTTTTATTATTATTTTTAAAAAAATTTTACCGTCGGAAAACGCGTGACCGAGTGCGTGTGTCGATAATATTCTGCGTCGTTCGTCTGACCTGTACACGCTCACCGATCGTGGTGGACGAAAAAAAAATCTGATTTCTAAATCCGAAAATCCAAAATCCGGATTTAGCAGATTTTCGAAGAATCCGGATTTCATTCCCATCACTATCGCGTACACTGTACATTAGATGCCATATTAGATTTTGTAAGCTGGATGGACTGCCTTCGGGTATTGGGTTCTGGCGTGGATACAGAATGTATAATAAGAATTTTAACTATAAAAATAAATAAATACGGTAATGAAAGGTTCCTTGGTGTACGATGTCATAGTATTTTTCAAACACTTCGGCGCCATTACTGTATGTTATGATCAAAAATTCAATAAAATTGTTTATTATAATTTAGGAAATTAGATTTTTTTAAAGAACGCAGTCACTTTTTATGTGATCTATATAATAATTAAAAAAAGTAGATAACCCCGATAAATTGTCGAAAATTCATACCGGGAATGCCTAGATTCTAAATTGATTTTTTCATTTACGTTCGGTATATCCCATAACTTCTGAACATCTTTCTCTCATAGCATGGTTCGTATATTGAAAAAAAATTTGATTAAGGGTAGACGTTTAACAGATGAATATTATTTCTAAAAACGAAATCTGTACTATCTGATTAATTTGTAGCAAAATTTAGATTTAGTGACCACACATTGGCCACTGCTCATTTATCTATGTTGACGCAAAATACCAGTAAACGATTACCCACTGTTGATTTATTGATCTTTAAATTTTAACGAAAAAATCATCTTGTTGGAAAAAATACGATAAGTGACACTCCGTTTATCCGAATAATGTAAATATGTATGTAATAAAAATGTTTCATTTTAAAACGAAAACCACCTAGAGTTGATTTTGTTCTAAGGATGAATTTATTAGTTCTCGTGATATTCCCGTAAAATATTTTCAATTTCCAGTTTAATGCGGTACGATGTGTATGCATCTCTCTCGTTCCGTCCACAATCTTGAACGAAAATCAATCGAGAGTGTATGCGTAAGGTGTTACCGTTATTTACGTCACCGGTCTTTTATAATCGATACCTGTGAAAAAAAATATACCTATTAAAATAATATATGCCACAATATAAGTTTGATATGTTCTTAAATTAAATTAATTCGATAGAGAAGAAAAAAAATTATAAAAATTAACACAATTCGTTTTCATTATTTGTTTATCTCGAAAATTATTACAAATAAAATAAGATCTCTATCAAAAAACCAATATTTATTTACACGAATTCTAGTTTTAAGTAATGCAAGACAATTCGTGGTACAGAATGATATATTGATTAGATCGATAGGTATTGTAAGTTTAGTATAAAAGTAGTGTAGATATTGGAGTATAAAACTTTAGTCTTAACATGAACATACCTACCTCTAACGTTAGTTGATACCATATTTAAGTTAAGACGTATTAGAACGTGTTACAGATTATCAGAATTGAAACATATAATACGGTATAACATAAAACACGTATAAAATGTATAGTTTAAAACTAGTAATTCTATACGTTTTATACTGTATAAAAATAAAATCCCTTATAAACAAAAAAGCATTTATAATTTAAACACCATAAAATAAGAAAATATAAATTATAAATAAACAATTGTGGTGCTATTAATCTATTGTTAATAATTATCAATATTTTATCACTGACGTATTTATAGTAAATTCATTTTACTTGATATTTGTAACACTTTTAATATTTTATATTAATAGATTATAAACGAAAAACTAAAGTAGATAGATATATTATATAAAATAGTAGTGAAATATATTTTTACTATGTATATAATTTAAAAACCTTACTTAATATTTAAAAAAGGAAATATGTTTAATTTTAAGAGTGAATTTCAAAAACAAACCAAATTATACGTTTTAGTCATTTTATACGTTTTATACACGTATATTACCAACCCTGCATATTATATAGTTTTGGACCAATCACAAAAACGTTTTTAATGTTACCAAATGTATTAAGTTCATTGTGATACAGTTTTTTAAAAAAATAATACTTAAAGTTAAATAATTTTATAGGCAAAAATAATTTTCACCTGAAAAAATTTAGATGTGTGCGAGTGTGTGTGTAAAGAGATATGTAGACGAAAAAAAAAAGTAATTGATTCTTACGTTAACTTAACTCAAAACGAAACATATATGAGCCAATAAAAACGATTGTTTCATTTAATGCACATGACACGAACAAAGTGATGGGGAAATAATATAAACCCTAAGCACCATTATAAGCGTACTTCTTCAACGTAATTGTTATTTCAAAGGAAACGTTTGATATCAAAATATTAATAGTAGTACGAATCTCATAAAATCGTTACGAACAAAATATCCTTAAATAATTACGCTTCTCTCAAAAACCGCGACGTAGTGTTTTGAATGTTGTGCACTGAATTATGCAGTAACACACAACAGCGATCATTTGTGTCAGTACTTGGGCTGCATGACGTCACAACAAAGCCTGATTCGCTATGATTTTCCCAGGACTTTGGTTGAGCGTGGACACGAAACTTCTAGAATAACATTTACCTCCACCCCCCCGAACAAATCGATTTACGAGTAAACGCAATGAAATGTCAACGATCAACAGTTGATTGGTTGAAAATCGATAAATTCAAGCTAAGAAGTTAATTTTAATAAAAACGTTGAGCTTAACTAGATGATTAAAATCATTCGATTTTATCCGGTCGACTCATTGGTACCTACTAAAACAATCGGTTTGTCGTTTCACGTTGGTAAAACAGGTAACACAAATACGTGTACGGATAATATTCAGCGTGCACCTTTTTCCGTATTAAAAGTAATTAAAATAACGTTATTAATTAATTATTATTTTTTTTTTTTTAACCACTACATGACTTATTTCTAAAATTCTCGTGTAGTTTGAAATCGGCTGACACAACTCGGAGTTTACTCCGCTATAATAATTAGTATTTAACTATTTAACTATTATTTTGTAGACGTGATCGCAATGCAGTTCTATGTTGTCGCGTTGCGTTTACATATTCATCGTGTCGGAAACCATTTTATCCTTTGATGGAAAAATCCCGGCCGTGGGAAAACATGCACGCGGTATGTACATGATGTTGCGCCGATTATAATATCTCTGAAATATGAAACAAAGGCAGATTAGTGATAAAATCGAGCACAATATTAGCACGAACCATGGAATGAGGATAAATTGTTATTGAATAAATTCCCTCGACGTCCAGTGTTTATTATGCATGAATTCCCGTCGACCATTATGCACGTTACATCACAATTAATAATACCAAAACGAAAAGAGCGATGAGCTGTTGAAATTATGCAAACACTCAAACTCACGTACGGTACGTGCGTATGCGTCGAAAATAAACAGTAAGACTGGTCATCACCGTTTTCGGTTGGACAAATAATTAATTAAACATTCGACGGATTTACTTCGTTCGTATTATTTTTTTAATTTTAATTTTTTTCTTTAATCAAAAAAATTCTGTTCATTGTTTGCCCGTTCGCTTGACCGATTTGAAAATCCGGATCGATCGATAACACCGATTTGTTTGACCGAAATTATTGTTATCCACGTAACAATCGTAATGAATAAAAAAAAAAAAAATTTGATAAAACACATTAATCATTTTATCAACTTGTGTAAGCAACAAATGATTGCATATTCATATCCTCCCTCTCCCACTCTCGAATCACTCTGACTGCCAAATTTTTTGTCGACGCCAAACCGGACATGTTTGCTCACACGAGATTTGCGTGCGGGACAACTGTTACAATAATTACTTTAAAGTCGGCAAGGTGTTATAAATACCTGCCATGCTAACACTTGTAAGCATTAAGTGTTGTCATCCTTAAAAATGACAATGTTCCATTTGCTTCGGTCTTTGATCATCATCTGCTTGGCTATACAGTAAGTAAATTACGTTGTGAAAGCATTTAGTTAATTTTTAATGGAACAGCTTTTAGAAATAAATTATTATTTTTAAAGCGTTCGTCTAAGAAAAGTAATTGTAGAATTAAGATAGAGCCGGCCGTGGCTGTAGGTGACGATAACTACGATTTAATACTAATTAAATGGAGAAGCATTACCGGTAAATTGTTATAGGGGAACTATTACAATTTAAGTCTTATCAGAAATTTTAATCCAAGTTTAGTGAAAATGAAATTTAGCGAACCCGAAAGTAATTTCCCAACTCGACGAATACTTTTTCTGAACATTTAAATCCGTAATTTTGAGAACGAAATAAAACCATTGCAATTAACGCTGAATATGGTTTTCGAATCATTATCGAGCACAGCATTTTCCATGGCTGTATGACTTTTTAGGTTATTTAATTATTTATAGATGTTTTGAGTATCGAATAACTGATATTTTTTTATATAAAAAAAATAATTCAATTCACTCGGTATTGTATTATCATCTTAAATTAAATATTAAATACTATTAATATTCATTTTGTGGTAATAACGGTAAATTATAAAATTAGGATGTTCATTTATACTGAAATAATGTAATACTAAAATAATAATACAGGTTCAAAGGCAATAAAATTGTTAGTTTGAATAATTTTAATTTTCTATAAAACCAAAAATATATTGTGCATTAAATAAATAATCGTTGTACTAATATATCTGAATATGTTTATGGGATTTAAAGTTCTCCGTTCAAATTGAAACACGAATTTCAATATGGCATAGCAATATTAAAAATTTTTCCCGTGATTATAAGACTGTAATAGCATTCAAATAAACTTGATTTACATGGATATATATTCACATAAATCAGTAAATTGTTCGAATTTCATAACTAAATGATCATTATAAAAATGTTTAAAAGTTATATTACTTGATGCACTTAAAACCAAATAAAAAAATAAAATAAAATATTAAAACCAAGTACAAGTAAATATTTCGAGTTTCTCTAGGATTAAAATGTTTAAAACTCCAAGATTTACGCAATATTACAATATAGAGTTTTTCTTTTTCAATCGAATAGACCATTAGTACTGAAAATTATAAAGTTTATTAGGTTTTTTTTTTTAAAAAAAAAGTTCTGATATTTTCAAACACCTATTAAAAAAATAAACTGCATGCGAAAAACGATGAGATTCAGAGTGCTAAAGATTTTTGTTTTTACAAAATCGATTTATTTCGCGGTCGTACGAGAACTTTAAATTAATAGAGACTATATAAATGTTAACCCAAACATATTGATGTTGTGTTAATATTTATATAGGCTCGAAATTCGATGTAAATTTACAGTATTCTTTTTAAAAACTTTAATAATTTAAATTACGACAGAATGATATTTTTACCGATAATCTTTATTTTTGATTAACTTGTGAAACACTAGTCCTTGTAATATTATTATTATCTCAAGTGAAATGTAAATGTTTCTACTTCTTAAAATAAAATAATTGATTTGACACTAACATTTGAAAACAAAATTATTTTCGATAATATATTCCTACCGAAGTAAAAAAAAAAATTGTTGATAATTCTTTTTGTGCACATATTTAAAGTTTAAACACTTCACAAACGTAAAATACCTTCACTAAAGAATCTGATCTTTACTAAACATTGTTTTTAAATGTAACCATTGATTTTTCATTCCATAAATTTCTCTTTGGTGGAATATTCACAACTCCTACATCTCACCTGTGCATATACAGCAGACTTTTTCGTGTTTGTTTTAATATTCATAACAAGTAGACCGAAATCGATAGCTTAAACTAAGCTAATCAGTTGTAAGTTTGCTGTCTTTCGTTGTTTTGAATAAACCTTTTATTAGTTTCAAAATTAAAATCAATAATAAATCACACATTATTCATAAACCATCAACTATAATCGTTAAAGAACATAGCGTAAGTGAAAAAATAAAAAAGAAGCGAACGAAGATGAAAAAAAAAAAAAAAAATAACAAAATCCGCGCATTAACTCCTCTGCTTGTAACATAAGTCTGTGACTACCACGAACGGTAAATGGTCGACCGAATGTTTAATAACACCGATATTCTTTCAGGCTTTGCAATGGAACGTGTTACTGGAAAAAACCAAAACAGAAAAAGGTGTCGTTATGCTCCTCGTCGACCACCATTAAGACCTCGTCGAAATTCAACTCGGCGGTGAACTCGCAGAACACGATTTCGGACCTGGAAACACGTCTGAATAAAATAGAAACCAACTCTGCGGAAGACAGCGATGAGATCGGCGACGACAGTAGCGAAGACCTGAACTACAGGGATAGCTGTTCAACGCTGAAGTTGAGACGATCCGTCCAGAGTCGCACGCTCTCGAAGAAAATCAATAAATCCATCAGCAAGACCAACACGAGAACGGTGGTGAGCAGGAGAAAAGCCACCCCTTACGTTGCGACCACCAACGTCAACGTCGGCACCACCGTGCAGGGCAGGTCGATCAATAACGGCTTCCAGAGATCGTTCCAGCAGACCACCAGTACCATTACCAGCGCAAACACGCTGGGCGCATCTGGAAACGTTATTCTGTCGATACCGGTCGGCTACGTCGCGAACACCGTGTCGACGACCACAACGCGTTTGCTGACCGAACAGGAAGCCGCCCGTTTAGGACTAATGAGCGCCACGTCGGTGTACGGAACCACGGCGTACTCTTCTTCTGCCTACCAGAACGGTGGTGAATCGGTTTTGTCGGACACTACCGTCAGCCGATCCACGAACAGCAATTTGCTGCAAGTGCAGGACAACGAATACAGAGCGAACGGATACAACGCGAAAGGATATTACACCAGCGGTGGCAACGTGCAACGGATCGCCGGCGGATCGTACAGCGAAAGATATGCAGAAACGAGTCAGCCCAGATTATCTCCGTCGGTAAACACCAACAATCGAAATTTAGTGGATGGCAGTAACGATTTCATATCTAATGAAAATAATCTTAACACCGGTTCCCTGACAAGTGCTAGAAGCGTGAACACGGTCGGTCAAATTAAACAACACTCGATGAACAGCATTAGTAACGGCGAAAACTATGGCGAAAACACGGTCGTAAGCGGTGTTGATAAATCGTACCAGACCGGTTCGATCGATAACAAGAGTAACGTAAATCAAATCAACCAGGTCGGCCAAACAACCGCTACAAGGCAAGTTAAAAAAGTCGGTATTGTCACAGAGTCCAACTCGAACGTTTTGGGTGGCGGCAACAAATTGGATGAATCGAAATTCGCCGAAGACTACGAGAGCGGAAAACAAGTTCAAGCTCAGGTCATCAACAAACACGCCAGCGCCACGCACGTCGTGACTAAAGGCACGGGAAGCGCGAACGTCGTTGCGGAAAGAAGTGTCAACGTCGCGGGAAGAAGTATCAACGTCGAAAATGGTGAGGAATTGGGGTCTTTGGGCACCGGCACCAGCGTAACGGGTCAAATCGTCGGCGGGAAACAAATAAAATCGGTCCACAAGCAGACCGTCACGCAGCAGAGGAGCTTGGGCGTGAACAAAGTGAACCACAGCAAGACCGTGTCGCAGAAGAGCGTACAACGGAGCCTGGTGACCGGTAAGACCGTGGGATCGACCAATGGATCGACCGAGGACAGCGATGAAGAAGAAGAAGACAGCGAGGAGAACGACGACGCTTTCGTGGACGAAGTGTCGGTGTACGAATATCTGAAAACGTACCACCAGTACCGGTTCGACAAAGGGTTGAACTCGGTGGGCATCATCCGAGAAGTGCTGAGCCAACTGGACTATCAGCGTTACATGCTCATGGACGACATCGTGTACCCACAGGACAGCACCCGGTACGTGGCAGACGAGGAGCAGTTCGATTTCATAATCGTGGGTGGTGGTAACGCGGGTTGCGTGCTGGCCAACAGGCTATCGGAGACGAGGCAATGGAAAGTGTTGCTGATCGAGGCTGGCGGTGACCCGTACCCAGTGACGCAGATTCCCGGGCTGTGGGATCGGACACTTAACAGCGCCGCGGACTGGCAGTACAAGTTGGAGCCGGACAGCACCACCGGGTTCGGGATCAGTGGCAACATTAAGCTGCACAAGGGCAAGTGCTTGGGCGGTAGTAGTACCACCGGGCCACAGGTCTACGTTAGGGGCAGCGAAAAGGCGTACGAGACGCTGGTGAAGAAGGGCTTGGACAGCTGGTCGTACAGCAAGACGGAGAGCTATTTCAAGAAGGCGGAGAACGTGCGTTCGTTGACCAAGATCGAGACAAACGTGACCACCACCACCACCACCACTTACGGCACGTGCGGCCTGTTGCCCGTGAAGTACTACAAGAAGACCGAAGTGACCGTGTTAGAGAAGCTGGTGGGTTCCGGTTTCGAGCATATTGGGTGCAAGAAGGAGCGGGACATTAATGACAACGGCGTCGAGGTAGGATTTGTGTCGATGCAAGGGATCGTGAAGAACGGCCGGTCGGTGAATACGGCCAAGGCGTACCTGGGGCCGACGTTCGGCCGGGAGAACCTGAAGGTGATGAAACGCGCGTTCGTGACCAGGTTGACGGTGGACGCGAAGAGCTCCGCGAAGGTGACCGGGGTGGAGGTGCGCACCAAGTACGGGCAGATGCTGACACTGAGAGCCAACAAGGAGGTGTTGGTGTGCGCGGGTGCGGTGGGCTCGGCGCGACTGCTGATGGCGTCAGGCATCGGGCCGGCCGAGCACCTGTCCGCGGTCGGTGTGCCGGTGGTCAAGGACCTGAACGTGGGCGCGAACCTGCTGATCGCGCCGGTGTTCACGGGGTTGGTGGTGTCGTACGACAAGCCGTTGGTGTGCAACCAGACGGCCGATGAGATCGCGTTCAAGTATCTGGCGAGGCGTTCGGGACCGTTGAGCGTACCCAAGGGTTTGAGCTTCGGTGGGTTCCTGAACACGGGCACGTCCGGCTCCGAGGCGGCGGACGTCGAGGTGCACCAGTTCTACGTGCCGAAGGGTTCGTACGAGGTGCTGTGCCAGTTGAAGTCCGTGTACGGGCTGAGCGACAGTATGCTGTCGGTTTACGCGAAGCTGAACAGAGAGCGCGCTATCTCGGTGTTCACGGTGGCGCTGGTGGACGTCAATAGCGCGAGCAAGGTTTTGCTGCGGGACAGCATCGGCATGAACACCGACCCGATCGTGGTGGGCAACATTCTGACGGACGAGCGGGACGTGAACCGCCTGTTGCAGGCGGTCAAGACGCTGGCCGGCATGCAGTCGGCGATCGGGCTGAAACTGGTGGACGCGCGGCTGGAGGAGATCGACATCGACGGGTGCGCCGAGCACGCGCCCAACACCGACGGCTACTGGCTGTGCCTGTTCAAGTACATGGTGTCGACTACGTCCAGCACCGCGGGCTCGTGCCGCATGGGACCGGACAGCGACCCGGACGCGGTCGTCGACGGCCAGCTTAACGTGCGCGGCGTGTCCAACGTTCGCGTGGTCGGCCGGTCCGTGCTGCCGATGGTGACCAGTGCGTACAGCCACATGCCGTGCATCATGGTGGCCGAGAGGGCGAGCGACATGATACGCGACAAGTACAACCGCTGAACACCGCGCGTCTCTACCTCTCCCTGTTTCTCTCCCCCTGTCCGTTGTCCCTCCCTCTCTGTACAGTATACTTAGCGGTCAGTCCGGCGTCCAGTGCTCCGCGCACCGGAAACGAAATATATTAATTTTACTAAACCATAATAAAACGCTTGGCAAATTAAGACACACCTACGAGTGTATTATTTACTTTTATCCTCGTTCTTTCTCGGTGTTTCACACGCATTTCAACGGGCACTTGCTCGAGGTGCTTTTTCCCCATGCGACACCGATGTACCGGTGCAAATAACGTCAATATAGTTGGTCTTACGGTCGCGGTCGATGGTTAGATTTGTTCGCCTCCCGATCGATTTTTAGCTTAGAAAACATGAAACGACAATCGTTTTATGATTAGCTGCTGGTTCACGTTGGTCGTCTCTGTCGACAGTGTGTGTTGTCCAACAACTACAAAATTTAACACAAATGAAGACAAAACTCCGATTGATTTGTTAAAAATCCTTCAGTTTATAATCCCCAAAATAAAGATTTAAACGTAAGATATTCTATTTGGAAGAATATTAGAGAAACAGCTGGATGCGGTGGTAAGTAAATTATAAAAAATACTAACTGTAGGAATATAATTTATTTACATATAAATTACTCTCGATTGTGACGTAAAATTTTCCGGAATAAATACGATGTGAAGGCAATTTTTATACTTCGCGTTCGCGATCGTGCAAAGCAAAACGTATCTTTACGCTCAACTTTATTCTATATGTAGACAGTTTAATAGGTATTTAAATCATACATAGATTTAAATTTTCCATGTTTTAATAATATCAACAAAAAAAAAACATCAGTGAGACTTGTTGGCTTATGATTTTTCAGTATTTGGTGATAAATCTGATGTAACATAAAATCTGAAATATAAGGTGCATTTAATGAACGGCGATATTTATTTTCTACGTTGGTTAGGGTAGAAAAAACCAATATATAAGGCAATATCACATGTTTCAGGGGATTCTTCTTTTGATACTAATTTCCAGAATTTTTTTTAAATTTTCTGAAGATTACTACCGTGGACCGCAGCAAAAGGCGTGCGCGGAGCTAATGAATGTGGTCGCTAATTTTACAATACTCCGAATAACAATTTTCTATCTTTTCTCTCCGACCGATATACGACGATTACGTCTATAAACATAAAAATAATACCGATAAAAGCTCGTGACAAACATAAATATAATAATAAAATAAATAACGAAATTTAAATAAGTAATAATAATAATTAAAAATGCAACAGAATGTTGACGGACAAATTAAAATGTGTTGACGGTCCAGGGTTTGGTTATTCTTGATGTAAACGTTCACGTCACCTTTTCGTTTCGAACAACTATAAGTAAACCCTTGTTTACCTTCCGTGCGAACAATTTCATGCTCGACAAAAATAAAATAAAAGTATGTTAGGATTATTCTATATGAAACCAAATCTTCGGAGTCCGCGTATATGGTGTAGGTGAATATTTTTATAGAGAAAAAAAATGATCATAAGTGTCACGCAGATTCACAATTTTGTAAATACTGGTTCTGTTACTTACTGGGCTTTTACTATATGGCCGTGTGATTAGGACCAACTATTTGGTTATTTTATTGTGGTCGGCTAGTTTTGAAAATAATTTTGTTGAATAGGTGATTTTTTGAAAAAAAAATAATCGATATATAATAACAATATTATTAATAACTAGTAAAATAATTGTTTATAATTATAAATGAGCATTTCGTTTTCAAGGGAAAATGTGATGGAGCTAATAACATTTCTAACAATAAAAAATTCTTAACAACATTCTTAGATCGAAAAAAATAAAAAAATTAAATATACTTGATTATGTTGGTATGTGATTTTGCAATCAATATTTTTCCTACGCAATTTAAATCAGTTATAGTCTCATTTGATGCTCAATATTTTAACACGTGGTGAAATAACCTAACCACCTGAGAAATAAAAAAATGAATTAAAAAATTAAATTAAAAAAAAAAAATTGAAATTAAAATGTTTGAAAATTTGCTCATATGACTGGTTTTGAAACTTATTTTAGTATAATAATTGCATATGATTCTTAACGGATAATTGTTAGATATACAAGTACAGAAAATACGTGTACTCATTGCAATAATATGATCATCGATAATTTTTGTACGAAATTGAAACATTTACACTGAACTACAGAGATTGAGAATATCAATTGCTTGATTAGAAAACGTTCATTATGGTTTGACATATTTATTTTAAGTAATAAATTTCACAATAAATTCCACTCGGAAATTATATATATATTTTTTTTTATTGATATTAAAGGCTTAATATCAATAAAAAAAAAAAAAAAAATTATATTATACTTCACGTAGGTATTCACTTGTTTATTGAATAAAACAATAGTCACAATTTGAAAATATCAAATATTTTATTATACTCTTATCGACGTTTTTGATATTTTTCTGTAATTCAAGTAGTTATTACGCCTGGTTTCACAGGTACACGAATTACTTGCCGGTTTGATTTCATATTAATTTATATGTACAAAATCGAAATGATTAATTTATACTGATGTATTGAACAAAATTGTATTGAAAAAAAAAATGGTTGCTCCAGTCCTTTTAAGACGTCAAAGCCCATTTAATATTATTATTGTTATCATTAGTCCTATTTAGAAAATTTTAATTTACACGTTTTAAGAATTCAGGTTTAAACGTAGTTGTACAGTTATCTGTTGGTTTCAATTATGATAATACGGAGTCATCGGTAATATTTTTTGTATGCATATTGAATGCTTATCTTACTCATCTGATATTCTACGCCTAAAGAAAATTGCCTATACGTGACTCTTATGAAACTGGGTCAGTATTACCTTCTGACCGGCAATCAACTTAATCATATAATATATGCTCCAAGTGTAACACTAGTTTTGGATCCATGAAATCAGGAAAATTATGATCATGGTTGTTCACGTGCATCAAAGATAATAAAAAGTTCATAATATGAAATTATATTACATTTTATTATATTATAATCATGAATTTCCTTTTCATTTGGGCATGTTTAGGATGTCATAAAAACAAAATTAGAAACGTTAGAATATTATTTAGAAAATAAATCGATTATCAGTCGAAAAAATACATGAAATATTTATTTATATTTTTACCGATTTCAAATGTTAATACCTTCTTCTATTAGGTTCTGTGGACTTATTGTAAATTTTCAGTTCTCTAATTATTTTCCTTTCCCGATTTTCTTTTTTATGCCATACATTAATTTTACGATACATAATTTCTATAAATGATAAAAAAAAAGAAAAAAAATTACATCAATATTGAATTATGAGCAAATTTTTTTCGATTCTTGATAATAATCATTTGCACTACACAGTTCGTGCACAACTTGGCACTAAATGATGTATCTTAACCAAGAAATTGCCTATACGTGACTCCTACAAAATGGTCGGTATTACCTGGTAATCGGCCATCGCCATAATATATACCAACCTAACCTAACCTAAAACAACCAATACTATAGTCGGAATATTTTTCAGCGCAAATATTTTAGTACTGAAATAGGAAAAAATTAGAATTTTACTAAAGGAAAGTATCGAAGACCGTTGCAGGAAAAGAAAAATGTTGGTGGCAACAAATATTGTGCGGCACAACTTGAGTTGTTGTTACAACAGGAGAGCCTATAAATTGCAAGTGTTACATTTTACTTGTGATGTTAATTATTATGTAAATTGAATTTTATTTTCTGAATGTCCGAAAACATTGCTTTCCGAGCACGAATTTCAATTCATATATTAAGAAATTGAAAAATGTAACTTTTATTTTGCATTTTTAAGACGTTTTTATTGCGTTTTAATGTTTTCAAGGCATTATTATATATAAATGAATAAAATTGGATAAAAATGTTGTTAAAATTAATTAATTCATATGAAATACAAGGTAAAATTATAAAGAATTCTATTTAAATTGTATATTAATTTTTTGAAAGTATATAGGAGAAGATTAATAATAAAATTATATGAGTAATTAATAACAAAAATAATAAAACACATTTTTTTTAATGTTATAAATAATTTTAAGAGTATTTTTTTTTTAAAAAAAAGTGCTGTCGTGAATGCGTTAAATCATATTTTTCTTGCTTTTTATAGCATTTAAATCTTATCCTTATTATATCATTTGAGCACAAACATTGTACTGAATATAATACGTACATATTATTATAAAGCATACGAGGATCTATCAACTTCAAGCGGTCCCGTTACACCGTACAAGTTATAATTTTACGTGGAACATCCTGCGCTGTATAAAAAAAAACCGGTAAACCCAAATGTTGTGCAATGGTTGAATATTGTGACGCTCTTCGTATTAAACGTGTTATGCTTTTATAACACGGTAGATCGACTAAAAAATAACATCAACGCCCACAAGGGCATAGTTTAAACATTTTTTGAAACATGACAATAATGATGATAAGACCATCTGATAAATTCAACCAGACATAATAGTACAATAGAGATGCGGGAACCACAAAACTAGAAGCTTGTCGGAGGTGCATAAACGTTCTTAATTAGTCGTTGCTCTTAAATTTAATGTTTGAACAATTAATCAATATTTTTCAAAACGATAATTTGATTATATATTGAAAGAGCAAAAAAAAAAAAAAAAATACACCTAAATGCTGCATTGTGATTTAAATTTGCTTACAATCACAGAAAATACACTTGTGAAATAAAATAGAACACAATGTTATAAAAGAGGCAAGTGATCGTATAACAATAATTTTTATATCTTTTATAAAAATCGTAGCAGAAATATTTACTGCTTAACATTAAGTGGACAGTAAATGTATAGATTATTTCACAATTATTGATAATAAGTACTTGCAGTGTAAAAATGTTTAATTGAACGAAAACCGTCTAAGACGACAACGATGCAAGAAGCGTGGATAAAAAAAAAAAATGTTCAAATACGAAAAAACGATCGAAAAAAAAAACAACCGTAACAATGGTAAAAATTAAAGTGTTTTAAAGTTTAAAGTTGAAAAATCTGTGCCACGTGATTGTAACCCGTACTTGAAAGTTTTCGTATGGTTTTTGCGGAGCAGAAATAAAACACATTTATTTCCACGTGCCCCGTGTCGTATTTA